AGTAGATGAGTTCAGATGTTGACTAGTGAGTAGATGAGTTCTGATGTTGACTAGTGAGTAGATGAGTTCAGATGTTGACTAGTGAGTAGATGAGTTCAGATGTTGACTAGTGAGTAGATGAGTTCAGATGTTGACTAGTGAGTAGATGAGTTCTGATGTTGACTAGTGAGTGGACGAGTTCAGATGTTGACTAGTGAGTAGATGAGTTCAGATGTTGACTAGTGAGTAGACGAGTTCTGATGTTGACTAGTTAGTGGACGAGTTCAGATGTTGACTAGTGAGTAGATGAGTTCTGATGTTGACTAGTGAGTAGATGAGTTCTGATGTTGACTAGTGAGTAGATGAGTTCTGATGTTGACTAGTGAGTAGATGAGTTCAGATGTTGACTAGTGAGTAGATGAGTTCTGATGTTGACTAGTGAGTAGATGAGTTCAGATGTTGACTAGTGAGTAGATGAGTTCTGATGTTGACTAGTTAGTGGACGAGTTCAGATGTTGACTAGTGAGTAGATGAGTTCTGATGTTGACTAGTGAGTAGATGAGTTCTGATGTTGACTAGTGAGTAGATGAGTTCTGATGTTGACTAGTGAGTAGACGAGTTCTGATGTTGACCAGTGAGTAGATGAGTTCTGATGTTGACTAGTGAGTAGATGAGTTCAGATGTTGACTAGTGAGTAGATGAGTTCTGATGTTGACTAGTGAGTAGACAAGTTCTGATGTTGACTAGTCAGCTAGCTACTCATCTAGTGTTTCCTCTGCTCGTCGTCCTGCAGCTGGGCTTTGGGGATGTGGACGGTGAGCACTGGCTGGGTCTGGACACCATCTATAGTCTGGGCAGACAGGAGGAGTATAAGCTGCTGGTGGAGATGGAGGACTGGATGGAGAAGAAGGTCTACGCGGCGTACAGCAGCTTCCACCTGGAGCCCGAGAGCCAGTCGTACCGCCTGCGTCTGGGACTCTATCAGGGAAACGCTGGAGATTCATTAACCAGCCACAATGGCAGACAGTTCACCACGCTGGACAGGGACCACGACGCCTTCTCAGGTTTATACACACACCTGAACACACACACATACGACTCTCTCCTTTACACTGTGTGTGTGATGCTGACGCTCTGATGGTGTTTCAGGGAACTGTGCTCATTTCCAGAAGGGCGGCTGGTGGTACAACGCCTGCGGTCAGACCAATCTGAACGGCGTGTGGTACTCAGGCGGAGTGTATCGCAGCCGCTTTCAGGACGGCATATTCTGGGCCGATTACGGCGGAGGGTTTTACTCCATGAAGTCTGTGCGTATGATGATCCGACCCATCGACTGATCAGCTGTGATGAAAACTGGAACTCACCACAAAAACTACATTACCCATGATGCTGTTGAGGAAATCCCACCAATCAGAGGAATCTTTAGCTCCGCCCTCTCCAATCAAGCACTGCAGACACACAGCACACAGTGTTGATGGTTGAATGGCTGTAGATCTCTTTCCCTCACTGAACCCATGTCATCACATGCTGTATGCCGGTGCCGGATCACTGCCTGCTGGGCCAGCTTCATGACAGATCTGGGCCAGAATTCTTTGCTAGCTGGGATTTGACCACAGGCGTCAGGTGTTTGAGAATAAGAGTGATTTCTGCCATGTGTGATGATGATGATGATGATGATGATGATGATGATGATGATGATGATGATCATCAGCTTTCAGTTGAGGAGACTCTCAGACTGATGATGAGATATATTCATTAAAGCACGCTTTGCATCCTCTGCTGCTGCGTTTGCACTGATCTGACACTCCTGCATGTTCACATCACACTACCCTCACCTGATCATCTACATTTACTCACTGTTTACTCTCACATAAACCCGTCTGACAATACTGAAGATACTTTGAAGAATGCTGGAAACCTGTAACCATTGACTTCAGTAGTGGGAAAAGCAAATACTGTGTAAGTCAATGGTTACAGGTTTCCAGAGCTCCACATCTTCTTCAGTGTTCAACAGAATAAAGAAAGTCATTGGGGTTTGGAACAAGTGAAGGCTCATTAATGATGTCAGAATGTTCAGGTGTGAGTGAACTGACCCTTTAATATCCTCTATTAGACTGAACACCATGAGGCATGAGGAAAACAGTGGATGTCTCTGCTCATGATGTAGAGCAGGGGTGCCCAAACTCTGTTCTGGAGGGCCGGTGCCCTGGAAAGTT